AAGAAGTCTGTCTCCAACCAAGGTAGAGTCTTTCTAGAATAACAGGTGGGAATCTTCGGAATTAAACGGTGAAATTTTCTGCTTTATGTTACAATTCTGAGTTTGATTTTAACAGAGCAACAATTTCTTAGTGGCAACCTTAAAAATGATGACAGATGCACTACTATTAGCAAGAAGAAAGACATCAAATGTTAAAGAAAAACCTTTCTTAGTAATATCGACTTTAAATAGTTTATTTTTGGGTTTAGACATCCCCAAAATGTGTTTGGAGCTTTTTTGATTTTACACCTAGTTTTTTTAAATATATGTGCTGGTCGCTGGGCCTAAAGGGTATCTGTTTTGCTTTGTATTTAACTCCATCTATCTTTCTATTAAGTTAGAAAAGCTTCCAGGTCTGAGCTAAAGAACCTAATTCCCTAAGCATGATGCTGCTACCACCGTGCATTACAGCCGGGATGGTGCACTCAGGGTTAGTTTTCTAAAGGAGTGTTTTGCATTTAACTTAAAAAGTTTCAAATTTAGAACAATTCCAAAAATGTGCAATGAGTCCTACGTGCTACGTTTTCTAAATTGCAAACAGGAAATAGCTTTCTTTGTTTCTCTTCATTAGTATGTGTGGATAGCTATGTTGAAGTGTTTTGGAAATAAGTTAATATGCTAAATTAAATAAAATGTAAACTTTTCAACAAATTTCTTGTAACTTATCCAGGTATGCTGTTTTGCCTGATTGCTGTTTGTTCACTAATGCTCATATATAATGTAACATATATAATATAATTTACACAAAGGTGTGTGTATGTGTGTGTATGTAACTGTCCAGCCTTCAGAGTGAGGACAATTTTTCCTATTTCACCATCAAATTGAGGACCAGTTGTTGCAAAGTGAGGACATTTTGCCGGTCCTCACATGCTATTTTGCTAATGGCTAGGTTTAGGGCTACGTTGTCAATAGGTTAGGGTGAGGTATGCATTGGTAATGGTTAGGTTAAGGGTTAGGGCATGGAAAGAGTTGAAAATGACAGAAAATCAATGGAAGTCAATAGGAGTCAACACATGGTCCTCACTACGATGGCAGAATGAGTATGTGTGTGCGTGCATGTCTGTCTGTCTATCCTGCCTGCCCGTCCGTCTTTGTACCTGAATATTGTGACAACTGACTCTGTAATTGATATATAATTACAAAAAACAGATTTCCAAATATTGCCTATAGTATATTGCAAATTTGATTGGGGGTGTTATTGCACCCTAATATTACCTGCCTGTTGTGTTTCAGAACTAATGTCCAGATATACAGTTATTATCTTCATTCTGTACGTGGAAAAGATTTGGGAATTGAATGAGAGCTGTTTCCTTCAGCTAAGAGCAAAGTGTAATATTTTGATATGGCTGGAGCCATGGATGTCTCCTCGTCTGCAAACACCTATGATGTGATGATGTGGCATACTGGAGATGCATAAAATTATTCTGTAACGGTGAATTGGAGCCGCTTCACGAGAAGTGAGCCCGGTTGGTGAGCTGCTTTCTGTAACCCTAAGCAACTTCTTTGATCTGAGTAAGATTACAATTTCTATCAAAATCTGTTGTATATTGTAAATACATTATGAAGTGTTATTTAAAGAGTTTGTGCCGAAAAGGAACCGGAGAGAGAAATCTTCATGGTGTAACCAAAGAGCTTTCCTTTAACAAACGAAAAAATTACAATAAAAAAGACGCACATAGACTAATTAGCCTACTGATTAGGTTAGTTCAGAGGGAATTATTTTAGGGGTGTCCGAGTAAAGGGTGTTACATTTACCAGTCTTTTATAAAGACCTGTGTATCCTTCTCACAGCTAACACTGCTTTATGTTGGCCTATCATATATAATAGTATAAATAATTCACTTCTGGCGTTTATATCCTGTGAGTTTTTGGGAAAAATAGGGATGAATACTTTGGCAGCAGGCTGTAGGCTATTTCTTCGCCTTGTCAGTCTAATGACAGTCTAATGTCAGAATTGAAATTCAATGCATTGAAGAATATTTTGCAAATACCTCTCTGTGCAAAAAAGAAAACAGACAAAAAAAAAACAAAAAGATATATAAATCAGTGTAGACAAATGATGTGATAAATTCATAGATTCATATTTACTCAGGTTATTTTCAATGAATCACGTTTTCTGAGCATAAAATATGGGATCTACAGCGACCTCCAGAGGTAGGAAGCAGTAATTCTGCCTGAAACAGTGCCTCATTCCTCTGATACAAGCTGGCTAAATGAAACTTAAAAATATATTTGCTGTCTCCATTCCTAAAGGAGGAACTTCCTGAGCTATTTTTATCGGTTTGTAAATATCTGAAGAACTTTGTAATGTCCCAAAACATTTCAGACAATTTTTAGGTCATTCTTCACTGTTTTATGTAAAAATTGTTGACTTAATCTCTAAATAGATGCTTGATTATAACTTATGCTTTGCACATCAGTGCTTTTCAGTCTACTTTCTTTCTGCTGCGCGATTCTTTCTCAGCTATATCAGGAGGATGAGACGGTTTCTTTACAGATACTCTCAGTATGTCTCTTACTGCTTTCCGGGTCACAAACACACACATCCCTCTGTTCTGGCATCTGTTGTGGAGAAACAATGGGGGGAACAGGAAAGGTGTCAGATGTTTGGGAAAACTTCTGCATGGGAACTCCTTGAGCGGGATGCAAAGACTACATTTCAGAGCATCTTCCAACACGATGGGAAGGGATACTCTAAACAAGAACCAGATACTACTGAAACAGCAGCACTGCTTTACATTTATCATCCAAATTAGCTCATAGTTTTGCAAACTTTGCCCCTAAAATCAAATTCCCCCCCATAGGCTCGCTGTCCATACTCTTGTGGAGCCTAATTGTACTTTCATGCATGAACAAGGGGTTCATTGTAACATGCTAGTAACACGGATCCCCAAATTGATAGACACATAACAGGCCTGTCATTCATTTGCATTTTAACTAGTCCTTCAGCGATGACACCAAATTGTGTGAATTCATTACCATACAGGGCTGCAGTTCATCCAGCCATCTATTAGTAACGCCAATTAGTTTAGTGGGACAGGTTTGAGGAATGCAAATAGGGCTACAGACACACACAGGCGACCAGACCGGCCCAAACGTTTTTTTTTCTCTCTTTCTTTTAACGTCAAGGCTCTGTTAACAAGCAGAAATGTGATGAAAGGGTTTTTGTCCCAGTGACCCACATCTGAGATTTTTAAAACAAACATGCGAGGTGCAGGATTTGTAAAAGAATAAGTTTTCTGACAAATCTGTAAATTGGTGCTGAGGCCCTGGTTTGATGTTTGATGCATGTGGTTGTAATGTAAATCAGTAAATATCTATCAGGTTATTTTGGGTTAAAGTGTCAGTGAGCGTTCAAGTTATACAACTGATATATATATGGAAGAAATAGATTGCTGTAAACATCCACTTACAGGTTAAACAGGCCTTACTACGCTAAGTCCTGGTGTTACAAGGCAAAGCGAGTCATAGGTCTCCCATTAAAGTGCCAGTCATGCGTCTCCTGGGAGAACTAAAACCTCTCAGCCAACACAGAAAGCTGCTACATTTTCACCCGATTTCCATGCAAAGCTGCTCTGTTTTTGATCCGATATTTTTCACCCACTTATAGGAAACAGTCAATGCATTTTATCTTTCATTTTTGCTCCAAAGACGATTTGACACAACAAGGGTTGCTTTTGGTAACAAATCATTTGATTTTATTCCACTTGCAATACTGCTTATCTGGAAAAAAATGTTTTACATACCACTGAAGACTAATAACTTTCTCATTGTACTGTATGCCTTAATTATAAATGGATAATTCTGAAACTTTATTGAATGGTTAGAAATTCTTTAAAACTCTTCAATCGAGGGAGTATGAGCTTTTTCTCTAATGGCACCAGCTGAGGCGTTATAAACTCTCTAAAGGTTAAGAAACTAAGCTTGCTAGCAGCTTTAATAGTACCACCTTCGCTAAACTATTTAAAGCTGGATAAGAAATCAACATTCATGCTCCAACACAGTTACTTTTTTTTCTTAAGTTTTCATACAGCTATTTCTGAATATAGAAGAAAACCTAATGCTGCTGTTTGTTCAAACCTTTGATTTACATCATTATTCATTCATATTTTCCCATTTTTTGCTTGCTTAATGGTTGTATATTTATGTATATATATATACATACATATACATATATATGTATGTATGTCTGCATATATGCGCAGTAAATGGGAATACTGTAAAAGGTGACTACACCAATGATCTCGGTTTTCCATTTGAAATATATAGCTAAGATTTTTCACACAAATAATGTCAGTAATGTTAATACTAAAAAAAAAAAAAAAAGCTGTTTGAGTTGATTTCCATGAATTGGAACAGCTGGAACCAGGATCAGCAATTCCAGATCCTGCAACTTTTAGATGTGTCCTTTATCTAACACATCTGACCCAAATTGGACCAATGACACTTCTCAGTAAATTTAAGAAAAAAAAACCATCTGACCCATGTTTGGTTGAACCCAAGCTATGTATGCATAATTTATCAACAAAGTATCTAATATTTTTTAAAAATTGCTATGATTTTATTGGCTAAAATTTACAATTCTCCCCAAAAAATAAATCTTTATAGTTGTATCAAAGCATGAAAGATCGACAAAAAAAAAACAAAAACAGATTTGCTTACAAATGCAGTGTGGTATCATAGGACTAATTTATTACATCTGTTTACTCATTATGAGGACTAAACAGGCACTTCTGGTGGAGGCACAGCTGTTCAGCCACTGATTAAGACCTGTGTGTATATTCCTGTTATTCCAACAGTCAAACATTAAGAAGTATCCGGCTCCATTGAAACCAGCTGTTTGTTCCCTGAGTCAAGGTGGTGCACCTGCTCTTATCAGTCTCCACCCCCCACCACCACCTTCCTCCTTGACTACAGTACCCAGAGCGCCTCGCGCCTCTCTCCACCAGTGAGTCCGCCCCGCTGACTCGCAGAACCAGTTGGTTTGGCCCAGCGTCTTCTTTTCCTGCCTCCTCACTGAGTGAGTGAACTGCCGCTGCTGCGGCTGCTGTCAGCCTACGCCAACGTGAGAAAAAGAAGACATATCCCTTCCTCTCTCCTCCTCTGTGAGACGGCCTTCACTTTCTTTTTCCTCCTCCTCTTCCTCCTCCTCGCCGGCACCGCGCCGTGCCACACAGCCAACTCGCCTCGGTTCGAGTTCAGCAGCAACAAGCTCGGAAACATCTGGCCGCCGCAGAGTGCTCCACTCCCCCGGTTCCCGCACAGCGCCTGCTCGCCCTCTGGCAGCCTGTTATGGAAATTAAACCAAAGTCAACCTAGTTTGGTCTCCAGAAGAGAAGAAAAAAGAAGAAGAGGAAGATTTGACGGGGGGAGAACCTTGTTGTCTGTAAGTGTTGCCCTCCCGATACGGGGAGTCCTATTAAAGGAGGAGGAGGGGGGAAAGTAGCTAAACCTTCCTTAGCATGACCGTGTTGTCTCTTCGCTCTAACGGTCGCTATGCTCGCCGTCCCTCCGCGGTGTTTCACCAGCTGTTGTCATAGCACCGGGGCCTTCGGAACAACCGTAAATAGCTCAGGACTACCGGAGCACTTTTGCTAGCCGCGTGCGGGGCTACAGCTAGCTGCGTGGGTCAGGGTGTCTCCAGGTTTGTTTGTTGTGCATCTGGGTAGAAATTAATCAGCAGCCTGCTTCCGTTCGCTAGCGCTAACATTACCACTTACTGGACTTTAAGCTAATTTTCCTAGCAAACAAAAACATTAACAGAGCTCAAGAAACCAACTTTATCAATAGCTCAGTTTATTACATGGTTATTAACTTCTTTAGAAAAGAAATGACTGTTTCAAGATGTGTCTCTAGTTAATTAAGTTAATTTAAAGTTTTTTTAGAACACTACTATCTAATAAAGCAGTACTTTAATAATATAAACAATAAAAAGCACAAACATTTAGTTGAGCTTTATAAATGTTTTTATTCAGACTCCTACAGTAGAACATCAACTTCAGCTGGATGCTTTAAATGTACAAAACGGCTATTTTTAAGGTTTAGCACCTCAAAAACTAACAAAAAAAAATCTATTACTATGTTCCTACTATTTAAAATAATTTGAATTAGTTTTAATTACAAACTAACCAGCAATGCCCCTCCCTCACTTGTTGCTGTACAATTCCAGCCAGCTGTTTTAAAAGGTTTAATTGGAAATGCTGTTCAGGCACCAAATATGCTCCAAACTGCTTTAAATTAACACAAATATAATGTATTGTATAATGTTCACGTGTCTGTAGTGTTTAAGAAGTAAACTGCTTCATTTCTATGTTTAATACAGTTTGATTATAACCAAATGAAATGCATCATCTCAGATCAGGCCATGCCAAAATTGTGCACTTTCGCTTAAACCTGAAGTGAAAGCAAAAAAAAGAGTTTGTAATAAGTTTCCCAGTCTGTTTTTTTTTTTTTTTTTTTTGTCAGAGTTGCTTATTTATGACTTGTTCCCATTGTTTTGCCTTCATTTCATCCTTGCCCGAAGAGAGGGGACGGATTGGGGGGTTGGTGGGGACGGGTGTATGGCTTGATGAATGAATAATACCACGGGATGAATGAATACAAGACAAGCACAGCGGCGCTGAACCGTAAAAAAGTGGGAAACAATATCAGCTGCGTGCGTTCGTCAGTTGCAAATATGCTGTGGTGGCCATTGTTTATAGTTACTGGAAGAAGGAACAGGTTAAAAAAAAAAAAAAAAAGAAGAAGAAACATCCAAAACAGAAAGAATAGCAAACAAAACATTTTGGATTTCTTTCTTGTTTTTTTTTTGGTGTAGATTTTTGCAAACTTTCCCCTTTTCACTGGAAAGCAGCACTCCTCTGTTTAATGATGACACAAATCAGCATCCCACTGCATTTTGTAGCTTTTTTTTCCTCTTCCCAGATAGAGAGAAAAAGGGAAGGGGGGGGGGGGGGGGTGGGGACAAAGTTGTGGAGTGTTGGTAGAATGAAAGAGGAGTCTGGTGGCAGGAGTGTAGAGGAGGCAGCATATGGCTGTAGAAAGAGCACAGCTGGAGGTAGCATCTCCATCTGAGGATGATGTCAGAGCAGCTGACAGGCTGCCATCCACCCCACCTCCTCCTCCTCCATCCCTCCACCCCCCCTCCCCCTCCCCAATCCTTTATTGTGAGTCTCAGCGGCAGCCTGGGAGAGTTAGTGCTGCGTTTAGTGTGTGTGTGCGCGCCGATCAGTGCCGGTTAGAAGGAGGAGGAGGGAGGTGGTATTTCGTTCCCCCTCCAACATCTCCTCCACTTTGCATCTGTCCCTTGCAGTTTGAACAGCGTGCTGTTGTTGTTTTTTTGTTTATTTGTTTTTTTCCTTGGGTTTTTTTTATTTTGCTTTTTTTTTTCCGGTTGGGTTTATTTTTTTCCGCCAGCCTCCCCTCATCTTCTTCTCTGCTCTTCTACCCACTCATTGATTTACAGTGAGAAGGATACGCGGCCAGTCAGAGAGCCCGGCTATCCTGCCACACTGGAGTTAATCAAGTTGATGCGTACTGCTGCAGGTATCCTTTCTGTGGTTCTTGTTTGTGTGCTTAGAAATAGTCCCGGGATGGAGGAGCAGATCTTCTGTTCTGTGGATTTTCCTGCATGTCAAACCTGTTTGAGCGCCGCGTGAAGATGATAGTGGGTGCTTCAGCGGTAAACGGTAAAAGTAGTTGGTGTTGCCTGTCGGGTGGGTAATTGCTGCTGCTGCTGTCTCCAGTTTAGTTGAATTTAAAGCTGTTGCTGTCTAGCTGCCTGTTTGCGCACCCTTTTCTCCATGTATATAATCCAAGTGAAAAGCATGAGCAAACTTTTCCATTTTATTAACTTTTTCTGTAGTTTGAATATTATTAAAAATAAAAAATATCCATTATTAAATTAAACCACTAAAGTTTAAAACTAAAAAGAGTGATTATTTATTCCTAATATTAATTTTTTTGCGTCCTATTTCAGTCGAATAAGTCCCGTTTTGAAATGACTTGAAAGCATGTGCGGTGCGCTCTAACCCGCTGTCCCCCCTCCTGTCGGCTGGAGTGGAGGAGACTAATTTAGAAGTTGCAGATTTGAGCTGCCTGAATTGGCTAGACAGCTGTAATCGCACTCCCTCCTAGTCTTAATCTCTTTATCTGGCTAGCAGCTGCCATATGGCCCCCGTCAGCTGGATCAGATGTGGGTAAGCCTCCCTCCCCGGCCGTCCCGGCCGCTCCCTCCCTGCCCCTCTTGTGTTTGTGTGCATCTCCCCCTCGCAGACCCCTGGCTGAGCGAGTCGGCTGGCCGGACCGGGTCAGGGCAGGGCAGGGTGGGCCCTCCTGAGCCTCCGCCGCCGGCTCCCTCCCTGCTCCCGCCGCCGTCTTTATTTTTAGCCATCTTTAAGGATTAGGATTGATGCTGTGACGAGCAGGGCACTTACAGTGATTGTATTGTAAATCTTCTCTTCTTGGTGGTGGGTGGATGGGAGGGTTGAGGAAGAGGGCAGTTTCTTCTGTGGGGCGGATGTTCAGACTTTTTTTTTTTTTCCTAGAGAAGGAGTGTGTAGGTGACGGACGGATCGTGTGTGTGTGTTTTTGTCTAAGGAGGAGGCGGCAGAGGGGGGGTTGGCTGGACAGAGGGGTGGGGTTGGGTGTGGGGGGAGGAGGAGGTGGTGGGAGGTGGTACACCCTTGTCCCTGTAAGTCGCCTCATTAAAAGCAGTCTGAGCGAGCCGGAGGGCGAGCACACACACACGTACGCAACCCGCAGACGCACACGCTCACATTCCTGGTTCAGCTTCATTCAAATGAGGTGATTTAACTGCTTCGGGTAACACGGCGCAGAGCGGGACCCATGTATTTTCTCAGGCAGGACAAATCGACTTGGTTAACAGGTGGGACTTTTTACTCCTTTCAATTTATTTGTCTTTTCTTCATATTCTAAGGAGCTGAATCGCGTTAAATTCACCTGTTTCTGATCACAGAGCTGTAGTTTATTTTATCCTCTCCATCTAGTCTTTATCACAGATCCTCACAGGTTAAACGATGGACAAGCTTTTTCATTTCTGGACAGTCTTTTCTTCTTTTTTTTTTTTCAGTCGGCTATTTTTATTTTTTTTTCCTCCCGACTTAGTCTGTGGAGGTGGCTTGTAGGTAGGCAGGTAGGCTGCTGCTCAAGAGTGTGTGTGTTTGTGTTGTGAGCGAGGACAGAGCGCACAGCTGAAAGCTGGTTACCTAAAAGGGCTGTGCCAGGCCAGGCCAAAGTGGGTTAATAAAAATAACCAGCGTAGGAGCCATGACAATCCAGGAGTGCAAGCAGAGGAGTTGGAGTGATGCAGGAATCCGTCTCTGGTGGTTTGTCTGAGTGAAAAGTCTTTTTCATAAAGAAAAACGACAAGAAATCTACAGACTCTCTGAATTCCTCTATTTCACTGGTTTCACTACATTTTTGTACCTCTTTTTCTTATTCCTTTCAATTTGACTGAAATTTATTTGAATAAATGAAATATTTACCAATAGAACGCGGGCAATAATTTAAAAATGATGTGTTCATTTTATGACTAGAATTATCTTTAAAAAATTGTTTTCATTGAAGGTATTTAAATTTTTTTAAGAAAATTAATTTTTTATCTTCTGTCGTTTTATTTGTTGTGGGTCTTTTTTTCCTAATTTTCTGCACCATGTGTGTTGATGACATTTCTTCCGTCTTTTGCTTGATCAACTTCTAAAATATAACTAGTTGTAGAACTGCATGTTTAATCCCTTAGTTATTTAGTCTTAAATTTAACAAAGTCTTAAATTTGAATTTAACTGAAATCCTAACAGATTTCTGAGGGTTTTACAATATTTCTAACATTAGCTGTGTTATAAGCTTCATTATGTGGTTTGTGCTCCTGCTTCTCTTCATTTAAAAGCCATACGAGACGAAGATGCGCTTACGTTTCTGTCTTTTCCTTACAGGTTATGAGGACGGCAGGATGGAGTTCCCAGACCACAGCAGACATTTACTCCAGTGTCTGAGCGAGCAGCGGCACCAGGGCTTCCTGTGTGACTCTACGGTGCTGGTGGGCGATGTCCAGTTCCGTGCCCACCGCGCTGTGCTGGCCTCCTGCAGCATGTACTTCCACCTGTTCTACAAGGACCAGCTGGACAAGAGGGACGTGGTGCACCTCAACAGTGACATCGTGACTGCACCGGCTTTCTCCCTGCTCCTGGAGTTCATGTATGAAGGCAAGCTTCAGTTCCAGGACCTTCCTGTGGAGGATGTGCTAGCGGCGGCCAGCTACTTGCACATGTATGACATTGTCAAGGTGTGTAAGAAGCGCTTAAAGCAAAAGGCCACCGCAGAGGCAGACAGCACTCGCAGAGAGGACGACGGCGGGTCCAGCTGCTCCGACAAGGCTGATAGTTTATCCGATGGCTCAACAGGCCGGCCTGCTACCGCCGATCTGCTGCACAGTGATGAAGAAGAGGAGGGGAAGGCTGAGGGAAGCCAGCTGTGGCTGAGGTTGCCGTCCACGGACAGACCAGGGACGCCGGGTGGGGCTACGACCAGCCCAGGGCATGGAGAGGCAGAGACCCAGCCGGGTGAAGGCCTGGGGGAGGGAGGGAAGGTGCTGTCTCCAGCCGGCAGCCCCAGCAGCTCCACCGGATCTCTCTCCCAGAGGTCCCACCGCTCAATAAGCTCTCGAGTCGGGCACAGAGGCAGAAGGGTTTCAAACGACGCGTCCGACTGCGTCCTGGACCTGTCCGTGAAGCCGATTGCTGTCAGCAACCACAGCAACCACCATCCATCCTTCTTCAGTGGGGCAGCTACACCTGACAGCCTGCAGAGCCCAATGACTGTGAGGGTGAAGGTGGAGAGAGGTGTCGCCTCAGATGAAGATGAGGAACTGGGAGGGGCTGACTATGACATGGAGCACAGCGGCCTGAGTAAAACCCAGGTTCCCAGCACCAACGGAGGCCTGACCCACCACGGGGTGGGGGGGCCTCTGTCGGCCCAGAGGAGGTTGGGTCTGGAGGCTCACCTGTCTGCTCTGAGAGAGGCGTCTCTGGCCTCCGAGCTGGAGCGCGATGAGAAGCCTCCAGCCTCAGCAGACGACGAGGACATCCTGGGGGGAGAAAACGAGCGCGCCCAGGCCGAAGCGGCCAGCATGGACAACTCGTTGCTGCCTTACGTTTCCAACATGCTGTCGGCCCAACACACCCAGATCTTCATGTGCCCGCTGTGCAACAAGGTGTTCCCCTCTCCACACATCCTCCAGCTTCACCTCAGCTCCCACTTCAGGGAGCAGGAGGGCATCCGCTCCAAGCCCGCCGGGGACGTCAACGTTCCCACCTGCACCATCTGCAGCAAAACATTCTCCTGCATGTACACGCTGAAGCGCCATGAGCGGACACACTCGGGTGAAAAGCCCTACACCTGCACTACCTGCGGCAAGAGCTTCCAGTACTCTCACAACCTCAGCCGCCACGCTGTGGTGCACACACGCGAGAAGCCGCATGCGTGCAAGTGGTGCGAACGGCGCTTCACGCAATCCGGGGACCTCTACCGACACATCCGCAAGTTCCACTGCGAACTGGTGAACTCGCTGTCAGTGAAGAGCGAGCCGCTAGCGCTGCCCAACGTCAGGGATTGGGCGATCGAGGACAGCTCCCAGGAATTATGGAAGTAGAATCAGACTGTTGGGGTTGAGAAAAAGAAAGGCAGAGATGCTTGGGGAGGTGAGAGGAAGGCGGCAGAGTTAAGCAGCCGGGGTTTTCAGTGAGTCATATACTTCTTCGTTGCGACATCTCATTCAACCGCACTTTAATAGCACCTGAAAAATGTTACTACTGACTTATTTTATTGTCTGTTTGGGGTCATGTTTTATTTTATGTGAAAGTCCAGTTATCATATGGCGTTAGTTCTCTTTTATGTTTGTTTTTTGTTTTTTTTTTGCATCTGAGGACACACGTTCCTCCATGAGTGTCTTTTATTTAACTTTTATTTATTTAGCTGTTTTTGAAAGAGTTGTTTTTTTTTCCTCCATTTGTCTGTTTCACCCCAGAGACAACACTCCCATCGCCGCAACCCCCCCCCCCCCCTGCTCCACAAAAGGCGCGCTCCTCTACAGGGGTTCATATTAAAATGCTGAAGTAAAAGAAAAACAATACACTAATAAACAAAAAAAAAAAAAAACGGGTACTGTGAGGCCACCCCGCACGGCATTGGCATCCGTACGCCTGCTCCCATTCAATTCTGCACTACTCTGGCAAAAACAAACACACAAAAAGAAGAAAAGTCACCTATCATGTGTGAGCGTGTGTGAGTGCATTTTGTGTGTATTAAATTAGATTTCCCTCCTGGCATGAAGGTGTCGTTGGCGAGCGCTCCCCACTTCTCTCGTTAAGCTCTTTGGTGTTGTGTTGGTGTGTTCAGGGGAAAGCTGACTGACTAACCGATGGCACTCATGCAATGCACAGCCTCCTTTTTTCACTTCCAATCAATCTGAAGTATTTTCTAAAAATGAGAAGACCTTTACAAATATTATTATTATTGATGATTTTTCTTTTCTTGAATCTAGCTGGCAGTCTTTAAAACATCTCTTGTTGTAAAGGTATTTAATTTAAGGTTGTTGTATATTGTTCTGTTATAGTTGAAAGACTTTAATCCCTTACATTTTTTTTAACTTAATAATAATTATTATTAATATTATTATTTTTTTGTAACAGGACCTGCTGTTGTTGCATGATGTCCAAAACCTGTATATTTTAAAATGAAAATGTGAATCTGCTGTATTACTGTACACATTGTAATTGATCAACTATTTGAGAACAGGCTTTTGTTTTTTTTTCCCTTCTATTTTTGTGAATACTACAGGGAGCGAACTGTTTTTAAAAAGAAAAACTATCACTCTCGGTTTTTAAAGGGAGGAAAAATGCATGAAGATTTGGATTTTGATTTTGTCTTAAACTTTTAGTTTAGTTTTTTTTTTTTTGTTGGCATCAGAAGGGGAGGGGTAGGGGTGTTTTTGAACAGTTCATTTGTTGGTGAAAAGTTGTCTCTGTTGATTCGCTCCTAGTAGGTCTCTCGCTCGGGGTCCTGGAGGAAACATTATAGAAAGGCGACATGAAGCATTTTAAGCCTGTCTTTATGCACTGATTTCTCTGCTGTGTGTGTGTGTGCGTGTGTGTTTACCAGTTGATTGAACCTACTGAAGCTCTACATCCACCCAGCACTTGGTCCTCCTGCTCCTCCTCAGGCATTAAATGTCCCCACTGCTTTCTCCTCTCTTGTCTTTTTCAGCTTCCGGTCAAGCCATTTCTTTCTCTGCAGATTTTACCTCTTGTTTTGTGGGGGTTGGTCTGGTAAGGCGGCTTCGGCTGAAGTCTGAAAGATACGTAGAGAGGAAGAGGAGGTTAAACCCAAACTTGCTTTTTTTAGGCTGATGTTGCCCATCTCAGTGCAGCCGCTCCTATAAGGCATCTTAGAGAAGTTCCTTAAAAGAAGATGGGAGAGAATTGGCCTAAATCAGGGGTCTGCAAGCTTTACAATCCAAAGAGCCATATTTTTCCTTGCTTCAATTAAAAATAGAAATTAAACATGTTATGGAAAACCACACTTTTTCTTATTTTTGTCAAAATGGAAAAACCAACCTTTAACAAGAGGAGAAAGTATATTTTTTTCTTGATAGGAATGTTTCATATGTATGAAAATGATTAAAATGATCTTGTACCATTAGTGTTATTCAGTGGTGGAAATGCATGAAAATGAAATGACAAAATGCACTGCTGAGTTTTCTAGCCTTTTTTGGCTGATGTTGCAAAGCTGCAGGTTGCAGACCCCTGGCCTAAATCCACGCACCTTTTTAAGCTAAAATGCATCATTTTGCTGAAAAGATGCCTTTCTTCGAAGCTGTTAAAGTATCTGATACTGTAAAGCATTTAGAAATGATTGATGGAAATCCTGTAGATTTAATGAATTTTAACAAATGTTTTCCTTCTCTATTTTGATGAGATAATTGGATTTTTTTTCCTCCCGTTGTTGTGATTGTTGTGTTTGGGTTGGGGCTACATCAGTTTAACAATTGCTCTTTAAAAGATGGTCAAGCGTTTGTACAATCCAAAAACCATTTGGCAGCGATGCAGGCGCGCCAACATGTCCTCCTCCTCCTCTCAAATTCAGTGCACGCACGCACGCCGCCGTCATCTGGTGGCACCTGCAGGCTTTGCCAACGCAACAATGTGGGTGACATTGCAGCAGTTTGCACCACATCTTCTCTTTTTTTTTGGGGGGGGGTCTTGAAATGTTATCTCTTCACTGGCGGTGCCTCTGCATATGGGCTCCATCCATCCTGCTGTTGTTTTCATTACTACTGCTGCTTTTTTAATTTTTTTGTTCCTCTGGCTGTGCTTGACCGCCTTAAACTGCTGTAGTCCAGGCTGGTTTTAATTTAAAATATATTTCTCTCTTGAAGTGTGAGGGGGAGATGATCGCTCTGTGAGGCGACCGCCCTGACATGACATCTCCCATCTTTTGCTGTGCTTACTTGAAGGGGTGGGTGGGTTTTTTTTTTTATTTTAATTTTAAGTTTCAATAAGAATTGAAAAAAAAAAAGTCAAACAGTTTATAGGAAGTTACGCAGGGTTGGGAGGTGGAGGTGGACATATAAATGCTGTTTTTGATTGGGGAAAGGACAATCACTGGAGAAAAAAAAAAAAACAAGCATATTTTTTTGGGATTGAGATGTATTTGCTCCCTGATGAGATTACAAGATTGATTTTTTTTTTCTGTTATGATTTTAGTCATTTTAGCTTTGACAATCATAGCTGGCTTTGTTTTCTTTTTTTTCTCAAGGGGAGTAAATTCTAATTGTATTTAGTTTTGTAATTTTTTGGTGTGCCGTTCTTGACATTTTTAAAATTGTGTGCAAAACTGCAATAAATTATAAGAATCCAGAAATTTTGCCCATTTGTGAAGTGCTTTTTGTATAGTTTTATATATATCCGTGGTAATACTGAATTGTTCATTTTTTAGCCACAAATTCCTCAACAACTTCTATTTCCCTAAAAACCTTATGCTTTTTAAAGCGGTTCTGTTTGGATAAGAAAATCTAAATACGATTAATGATAAATAACTAATGATAAATAAAAATAACATAAATAATCAGTTATTATGCATTTAAGAATAAAGTGTGGATAATTCAGGCTATTCAAAAGTGTTTTTTTTTTTTTTTTTTTTTTTTAATAAGACTAATAAGGTAAAAATACAATTTTTTGTTCATGCTGTTAAACCACAAAAACAGAAAGCTCATCTTTTCAAGCACTCTGCATCCATACTGGGTGTCATGCTGCAGAAGGGACCTAGCGGGAGGCCCTGGCATCCTGTCCTTCTGTCACTTGTAATGTGGGTGGAAGCCACGTACATGCACGCACCAGATCCAGCCTTTCTGAGATCAGTGCCTGGACCTAGAACTTCATGTAAATCTGGCTGAGACGTAGGCTGCGCTTGAGGAGAAAATGTGCAGCAGCTTGTCCAGATTCAATCCCCTGCAACAAGCACACACACACACACAACACTCTTTCGAAAGATCCTCAAGCCCGGGCTTCCAGTAAAGAAATCAGCTTTAGCTAATGTCTTGCTGCTCAGTAAACCTGCTGCTCTTACAGATGCATTAAAAGCCCCTGCACTCGCAGGCCAAGGAGCAGCGTTCATTAGGCTACAGATGGTCTCCTCGGTAAGCCCCCAACGCACACCCACGAGATAAGCTCACTTCTAATCTTTATGACATTGTCCTCTGTCTGATGAACACCTTAATGTTAGTTTGAGAAACTTAATAAAAAAAAAAAAAAAAAGTAACTGTTTCATAAAAGTTTACTCCAAAAATAAATTTTAAAATAGTGATGCAACTGGTATAAAATTCAGTCTGGTGAATATTGAGGATATATTTAAGCCTCTCAAATCCTTCATATATCCTTTAAACTGAAAAACATAAATAACTCAATAACAATCTTTCATGATTCTGTATTAAATTGTCTACAATCCAATTGCTCTTGAATGCCCCACCCTAGGAAATTATAATTTTATTCTAATTTTTTTATCAATTGGTATTAAAAAATCATGTTTTATCATTTTAAGCATCTATATAATTTTTTGCATTAAAAGAGGAAAAATGTACTTTGTCATTTTGACTGGAACCTACTTTCCCTAAAAAAAATCTCATTTGCATATTTTATTTTTTTGCTTGTATTTTATTTAGTAAGAAAGTTTATTTTCTAAAAGTGGAATTTAAGTTGAAAACTCCTTTTTATAAGTGATATTTCCATGGGAATCTTAAATAGAGCATTTTAGTGTCCAGATGGAGCACATAATAAAGCCCACTGGTTAAATAGTGAGCATTTAACATGATAGGGTAGGTTTGAATATGCTCACATATGTTTATGTTACTTTGTGTCATAAAAAAAATGCTTACTTCTCAGCTGCTGTTCAAAGTTTTCTAAGAAGTGTCACATTTGTGCTACCTGCACTCCTTTCAGTCATCTCTCGGCCTGCTCAGAATACATCTCCTTTGATTGTGCTCTGCTTCATGATCATTAATTGCAGTCTGCAGTGTTGTGAGTGAACATCTGCTTGCAGACAACTGCGCTCCTCTCTGTCTCGGCGAGGTTTGCCGTGAATGTAGGTCATTAATTTGTTTCTGTCCTTTGTTTACTTAAGGAAGGGGGACAAAGGGGCAGCTGCAGAACCATTTGGCTGTGCCCAAGGCGGGCCAGCTCAACATGTTGGGAGGCTGAGACCAGCTTGGGCTCCTGTCTGGGGCCCGGGCCCCTGCACTCTGCTGCATCGCGTGAGGGGAGCCCACTCTGCAAAGCTGCCATGGAGGGCTGCTGTACCACGGGGAGGAGGAGAAGATTAAGAGGAGAGTGTCATGTGGACATGTGGAGCCGTCCTGATGTTTGAATTTGTAAACAATTTTTTCTACTTCTAGCAGCAACACCCAGTCTGGCCTTGTTAGGCTTCAGCTATCAAAAAACTAGCTAGAAAAAGATGACCTTTAAAGAAATACCAAACTTTTCATATTGTTTTGATTTACCAAACAAAAGAAACTTAATATTTTTGTAACTTTAGAAAGGCATCTGGTTGAATATACTGTATGAACAATGGCAGCATGACAAACAGTATTCCAGCTTTTAGCCTCGACAGGGGCGGCCGCACCACAAAGCGTTCATTCAAAGCGTGTGCCTCCTGTATCCTTTTCATGTCTCAGACTTGTTGATTCTCCATGAAAAAAGGAAACGTTCCCAGACCAGATCTAGCCAGGGTGTAGAAAGAAGCAAGTAGGGGTGTGTGTGTGTGTGTGTGTGTGCAAGCGATCCTAGATTGTCTGCATATTTAAAAGAGCTCCTTTGTGGAGCACTCAGCACAGCAGGACAGAAGGCGCGCAACAAGCAGCACGCCTGAGAGCAGACAATACAGTGGTACTGCACTGGCTGGGGGTGATGGGGAGAAGGGGAGCTGGATGAGGCGGAGGGATTCTTTTTTTTTTTCATTTTGGGAAAATGAGGGGACAAAGTGTCCCATCCAGTCAACCACTCCAGAGTCTCCTCCCCTTTTCCTCTGAGACAAAAGCCAGCGCAACCCGAACTTGAATATCTGTGTGTCTCGGTGAGAAGGGAGGGGCCCTATAGTACTTACACATGTCCCCCCCCTCGCAGGTTCTTTACACATGCATACATTAACATAAACTCTCCCACAAGCATTAGTTGAGTACTCTAACACTTCTGCACATTTGTTTTTAACTTTTCGTAATGTTCCCATGAATTTTATTAAAATTTTTTGTGATGATACATGATTTTTATTTTCTTTCGAAGTTGTATTTTAAAAATTTTTGAGTGTATTTGAATTCCCCTGAGTCACAGTAAGTGACTCAGGGGGGCTCTTGGAGTATATTTTTAGCAGCTTTACACATCCAGATATTGATGTTTCTGTAAATCTATATTTAGGTGTTGCTGCACATTTGCAGTTTGATAATTGGGGTTTGCTGTAGCTGTGGCTCTAAAGTTTGCAATACCTGTTTTGGCAGCAACCCCTAAACCTGGTGGTGGACACCTACAGTAAGGGATGCTGTCAAACTGAAGAGGGTATCATGAAACCAAGTGTGCAGCTACCCGGGGGTTACAAAGGCAAAATCCTTGGAGGTATTTTGTAAGTCCATTGGGGAGGACCATCAGTCAGTCTCAAATGACCCTTTGGGGAACTGCTCAACCGAGGATGTTGTCAGACAAT